GGAGGCTATAAGACAGTGCATTGTCCGAGCACAACTGCAGAATGATGTTATGCTGGTGAATATCCCGAATGATAGCATCAGGAAGCAGTTAGTGCGAAACAGGTTATACGACGTAGAATGCATATCAGACCAATGTATTGTTTGCCCACAAGGAAAAGTAGGAGATTGCGCGAAGTGGGAAGTTGTATATCAATTAGAAGGTCTGAGCTGTAAAGCTTTATACAGGGTGTCCCAAAAAATGTGAACACTGTTTGATCGTTAATAACTCCCTTGCTTTCATGTCTTTCGCCGAGCTTGAGGCACCATTCTGTAAAGCGAGGTTCAACTTAGATATGTAGTATGAAGTAAAACTCCGATCTCATTTCGTTACTGTAGGATTATGGTAGGAACTTCGACAAGGATTTTAGGCCATTGGAGGCTATATTCTGACTTGGAACAAGACCAAACAAGCCAAAAACTCATACTATGGTAATGGAAGCCGCTGATTTCGAATATGAAATCCCCACTTTACTGTAATGCTTTTTTTCCAAAGTTATCCCAGGTAAACCGTAATAACCGAGATCCCAGTATTTGTCAGAAATGTGATTGCATCGTCAGAAAAAAAAACAGAAAACATTCGTAAAAAGCTGCGTAGTGGAATCAGCGTGCGCGAAAACCCTGGTACACAATTTTTCAGATTTTTTGAAAAAAAATTTGTCAGATGGCATATTTCACGATGGTTCCACATGCTGGAACTTCTTACCGTAATCCTACAGTAACGAAGAGCGAACGGTGGTTTGCTCCACGCTAGAAATCTAAGTTGAACCTAGCTCTACAGAATAGTGCCTCAAGCTCGGCGAAAGACGTGAAAGCAAGGGAGTTATCAACGATCAAACAGTGTTCACATTTTTTTGAGACACCCTGTATATAGGCGAGACAGGCAGAGCGTTGAGCATCAGAGTCAGAGAGCATCTAGCCGACAAAAGACATGGGAATTTGGTATCACCGTTAGGCAAGCACAAGTTCGAAGCACACAATGGCGCAGAATTTGATGTGAAATGTATAATCTTAGCACACGAGACTGAAATTTCTGCGAGAAAAACCCTGGAGGCCTTGTGGATATTCATCAAGTGTCCAAGCATCAACAACAAGAATGAATGCCTGACGATAACTGATGATCTTTTGCCCTTCCTATCATTATGTGAGCAAGTAGCCCTACCCATATAAAGACGTGACACATGAGTGACACTCAGTGCCGTCCGTCTACAACATCAGTGTGCGGCTACCGTCCACTTCGGTGCGGACTACTAACATCGATATCGCGGTGAATCGAGGGTTGGTTTCTTTTTCGACGTGCATCTCAGTACGTTGTGCATGGGACAACGTCTGGACTCGATGAGTACGGGAATGGCGTTTGACGGCGCAGTTCTCACAGATCAAAACTGCAATCTTCTTTCAGGCCTCCGAAGAAGACGAAACGTGTCGAAACGTAAGGCAATAAAAGATTCACCGTAAAAATTTGGGCTCGGCAAAACATCAACATATTCATTTGTGTAAATAGTTTATCTGACACGTTAAGCACGAAAACGATGTTAGCTTTACATGGTAGGGGCTTTTTTGTAAGTTTACAGTAGGTTTACAGTATGGGTTCTCACGCTAAACAAGAGAGGGGACTTTAAATTGATGAGTAAGTAAGATATTCGCATTCAGCAGGGCAAATAACTGTACCATGCAAAGATTTGGGGAATTTGTGACTTCGACTCCTTAGTGACAGGCGCTTGACTGCTACAGCGGCTCCTTCAACTTCGCGAGAATGCCGAATCTTGATTTGTTTTCGAATTTTATTTCTTCGTTACTGCGCTAGATGAGTTGACCTCTAGCAGCAATTTATGAACACTTTCGGATTGTTGTGCAAGGTCTAGATCAAGAACGGCTTCATTTTCACTTGAAACTCCATGAATTCTAAAATTTTACCGGTTTTCGAAAAATACTCGAATTTTTTTCGTGCTGGTATTAAAAGGCGAGCGGTTTATGTCAATTTATAGCACACATGCAGTCTATACAGTATCAAAATTTGACTGCGCACATCAAAAAGCGAAAAATTGCAGACTCAGTTGCAAAACTTAGTTAACAGCTAATAATCTCTGGAAGAAGTTTAGATGAGTTTCGCAAGAAATTTTAAAATGATAGAAGTTGCGAGTACCAAGAATTTCAGACGATCGCTTGACGGCACCGTCCACATCAGTTGGGGGTCTTGAGCTTTTGGCAGCTTACGATCGTAAAACTCCTATAAGCCAATGCACAACTCGCGGTGCAAAATTTTGCACCGGAAACGGGAAATCGCTCCGGAATAGCAAAGAGGCATGAGGACTGCAAGTCTCAGCCATCCTGCAGTAACGACATCCATGCGCTTACAGAATCACCGTCTTAAAGAATCGGCCTGTCTTTTCTCCGAAACGGAGATTGTCGGGGTTTTCGCGTAATCTCGGTTTTATGTTCGGAATAGACACGAGAAGGCCTCGGAAGAACCAAAACATGGAAGTCATGAATCTGAGTGGACGGTGCCTTTCCATCTATTCTGTGATACGAACAAGCTGGCACTTTCTACTCACACTTTTTGCGCACTTTTTTTACCGACCTTTTGCCAGTGGAACTTTGTGCCTCTTGAATTTTTGTCTTTTATTTTTTCTTCTCTGCAAAACAAGCTGACGGATTAATTTACCGCACTGCATTTTCTGTAGCTAATTGTTTCAGCTAGATCTGCAGCCTCCCTGCTTGGAACTCAAAGAGAAAGTTGGCCTATTTCCATTCACACCTTCACGACAAAGCCAATTTATTGATTACTGCCGTTTTGGACTAAAGGCTTTTTCGCTTCGTCGAACTTACGACCCCCCTGTGGGTCGTACTATCCAAAATGGTAGTCTTTTTAGAAAAAATTCAACCATGTCTCCGAGAATTTCTCCACAAGGGTTGTCGAAGGCGCTGATCATCAAAATATGATTTTTTCAGTTTTGGCATTACGTTGAGGTTGCGATGGCCATTCTGTACAAACCCTACATCATGGATTCTCACAAAAAATTGCGCTTTAGGGTTATTTCACGTGCTGATCACGATTACAGCCACTTTGTTCACTACTTTCCCACAGGGGAACTACGGTGGCATACTGTAGAAGTTTTGTAAAAATTAAGAAACTGATGTAAAAAGATGATATTGAAACTTTAGACTATCATTTTCGTAATCAGCATGCTGTGAAATCTATATATGTAAGGTTTAAGCTTCTAGGGATGGATAATGCAAAAAATCAATAAACAATAAATTCGATAATTTTTATGAGCTGCCATTAGTCTCGTGTCTCTCCCCGTATTTTTCGTGCATGCAAACTTGAATTTTCAAAAACAGCACCACCCTACGAAAAATTTGAGCTAAAGTCTGTGCCTTATCTCTATCTACGATATATGTACTTACCGTAACGTCATATTACAGTATCCCAAGCCCGGACCACTCTGGCTGGAGCTTGGCCAAGGTGTTCCCAATTACATGCCAGAACGCCGTAGAATTCTATCGTAAAATGGCAAAGCTAGAACATCTTACGATCCACCGGCCGGTGGGTCGTATTGTCCGAAACGGCAGAACACGTACTACCCACGTGTCCGGGCAAAAAGTCGATTTTGAGATTTTGCGCTTACTCGGGCATATTCGCTGTGCTGAATACAAAAATCCAAATTGAAGAGCGCGAAAACAACGAAAAAGGGCTCTAGCGAAGCAGCGTGGGTGCGTCTTCCTTCACGGTTCACGCTCCTACTTCCGGAGTTTCTCAATTCTGTCGGTCAAGTGCAAACGCCTGACTTGAGATCGCCTGGCCGAAGATCGTTCTGGAAGCTCAGAGCACGAACTCACAGGGGAAAGTCACCGCCTACTTGCTAATTTCCCTCCTGCGTTAAAGCTCTTTTCGTTTACAGTGTGGATTTTCGGAGTATAGGTGAATAGGCTCAGATAAACACATAAACTCAAAATCGACTTCTTGCCTGGACACGGCTTTCAAAGTACTCTCTGTCTGGTCCAAGATCCTGAGCGAATTCGTCCGTTTAGTTTGAGTTGTTCAGCAAGCCCCTAACAGATTTGATCGGTTGGTCAGGAAACAGGAACTCGCTTGAGCATTCATCTCCATCTGGAAAGGAAAGGGAGAATGGGAAACGTTCCAGTTAGGGCTCATATTGACTGCTTATTCAGATAACAACTATATCATGTGTTTCTGGCGCGATTCTGGTCGAAGATTGCAGAATAGCACCAAATTTGAAGTAGTCAACAAGTAACTGTCTTTTGAGATGGTTGACTTCAAACCGACTACGTTGTGACTACTTTTGCAATTGCGTTCCATGGCGGTAATAAGTTAACTATTTCAAGAACACACTGACGATTGCTCGCAGCTTGGCATGTCTGAAGCAGAACGATCGTAGTAAACGCAAATATCATGCACTGTTAATCATAAAGTAGCCCTAGCTAAGGCATGAAGGAGGAATGCGGTGTCCCAATGACAAACAGCGTGGAGACAGTGAAAGTGCAAAAATCATAGGCAGAATTCTGGACAAAAATCCCTGGCTTTGTTGACATCGGATGCGAGCTCTTGCGTTTGATTATGCAGTAGTGATGAGTTCAATTTATGTAGCAATTAAAACAATTCAGTTTTGGAAAAAAGAGCAGTAATTGTCACTGCGGTTTTGTACATCTACATAAAAGTGTACCTATAACTCTCGAAAAATTCTCATTTTCTGGGAATTTTCAAGGTATTCCTTGGAAGGTATTCCCAAAGCGCGTTGACCTCTAAATTTTCACACCCTTTAGACATATTCTAAATACTTTAAACTTTTTTAGCTAAGCAGAAAGATTAATTGGCTCTTGCAGCGAGCAACTTCTGCACAATTTCTCAAGCTTCATTCATTTTGCTACTCTTCTGAGTGTTTTAGAGTCTCCCCCTCCTCAAGCCTCTGTAACAAACGGTCTTTCTTTTTTTAGTTTCAGGCATGACAATTGGACAAATATTCCTTTATGCCTGCCTTGGTTTGGGAGCATATATATGGAGCATAACACTCATCGCACCCAATACTTCGGTCTGTGACGTCCTTCAAAAATCCACTTCAGCTTCTTCTGGTTTCTCAGTCACGACACTGAATAGTTCAAGTCGTACTGTTGGCGGAAGACTCACTCCATCCCCTGGTGGTCAGTCTTGGCCCTTCATATCAAAAACGTCAAAAATGGAGAAATACAGTCAAATTGAGTAGAATTGTCTCTAGCACAGGAAGCGCTCAACTGCAACGATAATTTGGTGGCAGTCAGTAAAACAATTCCATTATGATAGATTTTATAACGTTTGATGGTGAAAGAAACATAGTTAAAGTATCGTTGATTCGTTGACCGCACGGTTTAAACATCACTGCGGAGCACGGAAAAAAATGCCAAAAATCAAAATTGCTCTTTTCCATGCTTACCCAAAAATCATGGCTCTTCACAGAAATGCTCTATTAACAGTGACACTCTGCACTTTTGGAATGTGGGTCAAAAGACTTACTAGTACTCTTCAAATTTTTAGCAGCCTATTCAAAAAGACCGAGGTTGAAGTGATTTTATTCTCTTGCTTCCATCTCAGAAGATGCCCTTTATCAAAGAGCAGGAAAGGTACTATTACAAAAAAATCTCTCCTATCTAGCAAAATTAAGCCTGTGCAAATCCATTGAGAAAACAAGAAGCTATGATTTTTCAAACTGATGCGACAGAACTGCATCAACCTAATATTTATGTGGTAAAATTATAGTTAGCAATTGAGAGTTAGGAGAGGGAGACGCATCATGTTTGGCGAGACAGCGGTGGTCGCGTTGATGCAGTTGTCGCGATTCACGTACTGTACGAGTCATTTTCTGTGCTCTTGGTTTTCAGAGTACAGTCTATTAGATTTCTTGTATAAGATATGTCCCTGCAGACGCTTCAAGGCTTGTGCGTCAACAATTGCCATTGCTACTTTCCGAGTAATGTTTACTAGTGTTTTCTTTGCTTATTCTATTTTAGGCAATTCACATTACTGACGAAGGAGAAAAAAATATGCTAGAGAGTAGTTTCTGTTTCCTGTTATAACATCGCTTATTCTCAGGTACCTACGTGGAGGAAACGTCGCGATAGTTTCATGGGTTTTTGTCACTTGATACCTTTTTTCTCGTGGAGCATTTCCATGAACGATAGTTAGCTCTGCAGCAACTTCGGCTCTTCCCTCCGGAAGCAAAGGCATTTTCTGAGGCGTAAATTCTGTCGATATTGGGGTTTTTACCGTTTTTCATGGAAATAATGGGGGGGGGAACAAAATTTTTACTTCAAAAACTGATCAGCCACATAGAGAGTCTGCCGTAGCTCAACCAGCGAGACCACAGCTTCCTGCTGGGTCTTCCCATAGGTATTACGAGTGCTTGGGTGATAAGGACAGAAAGTCAAGCGTAAAAGCCTCTTAGGGTTCAAGAAACGTTTCGTAAAAAGAAAGAGGCGTTACGTGCAAAAAATATTCAAGAAACTGATGCGCATGAAGTGACAAAAAATCCACATGCAACTGAGGCGACGTAGCACTACACAGCACTTTTCACTTATACCGAGAATAAGCGACGCTTTACCCAGAAGCTCACAACGGTAACTGTTGACGTGTAAGCTTATCGCGTCTGCGGGGATAGTGTATCAAGTAGGAGACCTACTCAACTGTATCTGCATCAGATGGCGCAGTTGTTATGGTAAGTCCATCCGAAAGTAGTAATGTCTCTTTTTTCCAATGAACGCCACATATCGTGAAACCAAGAGATATTGGAAGATATTCTGAGATATTGGAAGTATTCGTACAACATTTCATTCTTTTCCAATGATTATAAAATTCTTGCAGTACATCCAATGAAATCTCTGAAAATTACCAAAAACTGCGGTTCATTCTTTTGAGATGGGATTTTACATTTTTTTGAAATTTTTATATCAACCCTGCGAAGAACTCCTCCAGCTACATGTTTGTAAAGCGAACTAAACAACTTTTCTTTCCTTTCCATAACGCTTCATACTTTGTCAATTACGATATTTGGAAAACTCAAAACTTCTAAACAACTGGCGAGTAACTTAGGTGCTGCTTTTCAGCAGCTTTTCTCCTCTTTCTAATGGGTAGTTTTTGTTTCCGGCGGAGTCCGGGTATTAATCATAACGCTCTATTCTATATCTGAATTCTTTCTCAAAACTCGGAATTTAAGACTCCGCATCCCCGAACTCTCACTTGCTTTGCAAAATTGGTGTTGAGTCATGGTACCATTTTGGAAGTTTCAAATTTCGAAGAATTATTGATGATAGCTTGTGGCACACCTGCCAAAATCCGATGGTTTGGTAAAAGCCTTCAGAAAAAATTATGGCGAGCTCTGAAAAGAGAAAGAAGTTTTACTTATTTTTTGAGGTTTGCGCTATTTAATCGTACTAGGACTTCTTTAGAGGATTGATATAAAAGTGAAAGAAATGTAAATGACCATCTCAGAAAGCACGGACCGCAGATTCTGGTAACTTTCCGAGAGTTCATTGAATATGCTGCAACGATTTTATATCCGTTGGAGAGAGGATGAAATGCTGCACTGAATGCTATTAAGATCTCTCAATCTTCCTTCCACAAAATGTGGCGTCCATTTGAAAAAAACGACTTTACGGAACGACCGAATACTAAATGCAACGGCCGCAGTAGGTCATTCTCTACAGTTCAAAATTTTCATAGGACCACGGTAGTCAGCTTTCTTGGTTTGGTTGGTTTCTGCCGGGTGCACGCATACCTCCTTGGACTCCTGTCGTTCTGTGATAGCCTCAAAAGTGTTAAATCAGCAATTACAAAGCTTACTTAGGGGGAGTAAAATATGCTTTTACGTCCTCTTACCAATAAATATTCTCGAAGACTTTTGCTACGCAACATTGCAAAATCTAAGAGGTAAGACCCTTTTAAATTTTAGTTGGAACCACCAAATTTTTTTTGACCTGGAAAGTAATAAAACTGGGAAGCCGTGAACAATAAAAGTTCTTCGGTGTTCCATTTTCTTTGTATTTCTGAATACATAGACAGCAAAAATAGGAAACCACAATCAAAACCTAAAATGACAGATACAGAATTATGTCAGATTCTAAAGCAACATAATCTAGACGGGTGCTCTCCGTCACTGTTCGCTGAAGCTAGATGCCACTAAAACATCAAATAAAAATTGTCATTGAGAAGAGAAAAAAGTTTGAACGGATACAATTTTTCATCTTTAACTACCAGATACTTAGCCCGCTCTCTTTGCGTTGATTGTGTGCTAAGCTAATAAAAAATGAAGAACCCGCAAGAAGCTTTCAATTTATGGTCTTTAGGACTGTTGCGAGCGCGATACTTATAACACGTCAAAACTTTAATTGATACACTTGCTTTCTATACTCCCTTAATATGCAGAATTCGGGATCTAAGCCTTAGGCTTGTGATCTCTACTTGTAGAATTTGGCCGCAGATTTAATATCATGTGTTTTCAACCGCTTTTCAAACTACTCAAACACTTAACCTCATGTAAAAATTGTTTATATAGGGACAACTCCCGTCGCACTTCGAAATCCATTTGGTACTTGCATACTGCCACAATTCGATCCGTGGGACGCGAATATAGTACCGGTGGGTCCCGGCACTACTTGGCTTTTAAGGCCAATTCATTAATTAGAGGATTTTAGTACGTCGATCCAGACTACAATCCTCTGCAAAAATGCAATCGAAGCTACAAGCCATTGACTACGCTTAAAAACGGTATCGTCACTGTAAACAAGAAGAACGTGTTATGTATGGGCAGGTAAGCGGCTTGAGTGAATTTCCATTGTCTTGCTGGATCACTAGTTCAAAAAAGAAGGATAACTCATCATGACTTACAAAGCTGTCAGTACGTGGAGTTTGTTTGTCATGAAAAGACACTGCAAAGTGATTGGAAATGCAATCCAGGCTTAATCAAGTTATTTTTCAATTTGAAAGAGCGACTTGCCAAGGCTGGCAGAAGCTTAAGGAGACGTTTGTTACCGTGATTGAATCTTGGCGCCGCGATTTGTTCACTGTCACAGAATCTCAATTTCGGACTTATATCAGCTGAGCAAAGCGACGCATGATCTTTATTTTATTTACTTATTTATTTATTTATTTATTGATACACTGTTTGTATACAGTGCGCCAGTACAAAACCACGAATGAAGCGACAGACAAAGACAGTCATGAAACGAAATTGTGACATGCTCAACACCCTAGAGAAATGAAGGAGAGTAACTCTGTAAACCAGATGCTCATCAGTGTTGTCTTCAAAGTCAGTGTTGTGGGGGCTAAAACTTAGCATAAGTACAAGTCCAAGTACTATGCGCGACGGTATAGAGGTATACGGTCACTTTCGAGCGAAGAAAGAGGGATGAGCACCTGGACGAATGAGCGAAATCATGCGTACCCGGCGGGCTGGAAACCTCGTTCGGCTTACCCCACCAACGCTAACATCGGACTTGGATACAAGATGATCAAGGAAGAGAGACAAACATACAAAACTAAGGACAAAGACTATGTCAAATTTGGAAGACAAACACTATGCTGCATATAGCTGCGTATGTAATAAGAGAGCCTCTGAGGTCATGAGCATGCCAGCAAAACAGGAATTAGAAAATAACTGATGGAACAAGATGGCCATACGAATGTATGCTATACTGTAACTCATATAACGAGAAGCTGAAAACAGAACAACAAGGTAATAGCCGATTTAGGTAAAGGGAACGTAGACCGAAGTCCAGCAAAGCTGTATGGACTAAATTGTGCAGGCAGCCATGCAAGAGGACCTCTGAAATTAAAACAGACGAGACAATATGACTGAGTTAAAAAGGCGATCAACTTCCCAAATGAAGTCCAAGGAGCAGTGGAAAATACAGTGAAGAGAATAGCCAGCGCGAGACTGGGCAAGTCCACACTCTGAAAGAATGAGGCAGTGCAAAACCAAGTAGATTTCGAAGTGTGAACAAACAAGCAGTAAGACAAAAAAGTACATCTCAAAAGTACTCAAATTCATCTATCCCCAGCACCTTCAAAAAGTCAAAATTAAGGAGTCTCTTTCCGAAAACGCTTGAATGGGGAACAGAGAGAACTGAATCAGGAAGCTTTTGCAACCAACGAGATGTGCGCGTAAAAAACGAGTGGTAGAAGAGCGTATTTGGAGTAGTAGAGTCAGTGCAGTGAAAGCTGAACCCACCTGTTCGGCCGTTGCGCGGTCTCCAAACCCAGAATTCACTGGGCACTATTTTTGTTTCAAGGCGAATTATTTGGAAAGCAAGCACCAAGTCAGCCAAGATCCTTCGATAAAGCAAACTGTGCAACTTCAGGTGACCTAGCATACAACCCTTGGAAGTGCGTACGGGTAATCCTCGCTTGGAAAAAATCTGTAATATAGTGCACGAGTAGAAACCATTTGAACTTTTTCAATGGTTAGAATGTCTTTTTTCAAGTGGATTCCAGACTTGGCAAACATACTCTAATAGGGGGAGAACAGAGGCCATATACAGCTTGATATATACTGCAAGTCTGCATGTTTCATGTTCCGTAATAGAAGGAATACTCTGTGTACGTCTGCACGCGATACACTCTCAATGTGAAATCTTAACAGGAGGTTATGGTCCGTCAATAATCCAAGGTCTTTACAATCACGGGCCTAGCCAGAGAAATGTTTGAGTATACTTTCTAAGTGCGTTCTCTTGCACCTCCCTTTTGGTGATGGTCAAACACACACTTTTAGTAAGTACATCAATACAGTTCAAAGCTGCCCATGATGAAGTTTTCTGAAGGCAAGTACTTTATGGCAAAAAAGCTCAGTTTTGCTGCTTTGCCGACTCTCAGTTCGAGCCCAAGCATCCCCACTTAGGTTTTGAGAAACCAGTCCAGACATTACTCATAAGTATTTTGAAAAAAGATAAGAAGTCTTGGTGTTGGGAACCAGTATACCTCACTATCCTTGCGGTATATCTAACCATAAGAAAGAAAAAATATAAAAAGAACCGTTGTTCGCAGAGAGGCCAAAGAAGGTTATAGGAAAATTATGTACTGTTCTCGGCACCGGCCGCTGTACTTCGAACTCCAAGTCATACATTTAATCACTTCTGAAAGCCTGCTGCGCGATGTTTTGCAGAAGGAATCAGGGTTTGGTCAGCAAGTTTAGCAGCGCTTTTGTATTGCCTTTGTGTACTTTGATCCAATAGGCTTCCGTATTCCTTATAGCATTTACAGAGCGGCGCGATTGCCTTTCCTCCAGAAGTTTGCAGAAGAACAAAGAACAATGCTAGACAAACTAGAGCTGTCCTCGTATCGTACCAAAACATTCATAATAAGATATAGTTAAAATTTTAATGTTGGAAGCAACTACACTATAGAAGATGTATTTTTTTTTCGAAAGGAAGACCTGGAAGCAAACTGTGGTCTCGATGGTAGCGTAAGTGTCTGTACATTGAAAAGTTAGGTAAGTATTTTTTAGGAACAAATCATTGTTTTCTGGAAATTTCGTGTTTTTTTACAAAAATCACAACTGGAGAAGCGTGTGCACTGAAAAAATGACTTCCCTCTTGACAAGAAGACCCTACAAGCAAGTGTTCTTGCTAATTTGAAGTCGCTTCATTTGTATCAGGGATATTTCAAGGCTTTAAGTATTTTAAGAGGAACAAGTTCTTGTCTTCCATGGAAAATATGAAATCTCCATTTAGGGGGCATCTACAGTGCAGAAAAAGCCCTTTACTAATTGAAAGCTGTGGTCTCGTTGGTAGAAAGGTCAGAACTTTGGAGACTAAATGTTTTTTCAACCAATTCATGTTTTCCATGGAAATTTTGTGAAAATTAACATGTAAATTTTGTGAAAATCTTAATTTGGGAAACCTTAGGTTGCAAAATGCACTTCCCTTTTAAAAAAGACTCTTTAAGCAAACTATGGACTCGCTAATAGGACAAAGTCGGAATTCTTTGAGCTAAGCACTCTTTTGTTAACAAGTCTGTTTTTCTAAAAATTTCGTAATTTTGAGAGAAACCTCAGTTTTAGAAGCATTTACAGTATAAATGCACTTTTTTCAGAAAAAAAAATTCTGTGAGCAAACTGTGGTTTCGCTGGTGTAAGGATACTTTGAAAACTAAGTATGTTTTAACGACAAATTCTCGTTTTCCGTGGAAATTCAGTGTTTTCAATTTTTACATGTAGAAGATGCACTTGATTCTTGAAGAAGATGTTATTGCAAGCAAACTAGCTCGCTGGTAGTGTAAATTTCGAAACCTTTGAGGACCAGTATTTCTTACAAGGGAAGTTCGCTTGGTTGAAGTGGCGATCCGGAAGGTAATGTATACGTGCGGATGGAGCTTTAAACCTGGTCTAAAATGTAGTTTCTATATCTGTGGAATTTGAAATTATGAAATCAAAGGAAATTATGGGTTTTTTTGTATATTTGATGGAAGTGTTCTAGAAAATCAGAGCCGGGATTAAAAACATGGACATCACTCGAAAACATTCACATGATATCAGATTAGACCTACAACACTTATTGTTAGAGAAGTACCATGAATTAACAAATGTGCACGAGAATTAGGCATAAGGAAGGCTCATACTTTTTTCAAAAGAGCTTATCGCAGATATAAAAGGCATATCTGACATCAGCGTTCAGAGTTCTATCTTTGGGTATACATCATCTTCCAAATCGCCACTTCGAGGAAATGAACTTCCCTTGTTAGTGGCAAATTCTTGCCATTCGTGGGAACTTTGTGAGAATCTCAGTTTGGGAAGCATTTACACTGCAGAAGATGCATTTTTCATAAGAAAAAGGCCCTGCAAGCAAACTATGATTTCGCCGGTGGCACGAAGTCGGAATTTCTTAGAGCTAAATACTGATTTGTTGACAAGTCTTTGTTTTCTAAGGAAAATTCGTGATTTGAGAGGATTTTCTTCGTAAAGCATTACAGTGAAAACGCCTTTTACTTTTGAAAGACCTTGTGAGCAGGGCCCGGCACGAGGTGGCAAATGACAAGAAATCGTTTTAGGGCCAAAAAGCAAAGGGGATATCGTTTTTGCGGGATCCGGGGCGGAGCCCGGAAGAAGATTCCAAGCGCAAGCAAAAGGAGTTCGAATCATGCTTACCTTATACACCTAATTCATGGAAAACAGTTTTCATAGACCTCAACGCACAGCAGAGTTCGCGCGCGCTAAGCCGCGTTGCCTCTAATTGCCGCGTGTGGACGTCGCATGAGCGATGCCTTCAAACAGCTTGATTACATGATCAGTTCTCAATGCAGGCGTAATGATATAGCACCAAATTACGTAAGCGAACGAAGAGAGGCTAGTAGAAACAAATTATGAAATATTGTGGAAAACTTATGTGAATGAAAGGAGTAATAAGCATTTTTTCCAAAAATTTTGCAAAACTGGTAAATGAAGATGTCAATTTAAATGGCTCGTTTGCAACGCGCAGATGACGATATGGTATGAAAACTTGGTTTGTATGTGGAGACAAGGCTGCAGGGCTTAACTTAGAAGTTTCATTGACAAATTATGTGACTGAAGGTTGTGGCAAGCTTTTTTCTGAAAATTTCCCACTATCAAGAAAATGGAAAAATGGCTCGTTTGCAACGCAGAGATGACGAAATCGCGCGAGACTTGCTGTGTATACGCGCAGTAGGACTAGGGAACAAAGCATGCAAAATCATGAAAAACCTATGTGAATGAAGAGCGTGCTTAAAGGCACCGTCCACCCTAAGTTGAGGGTGTTGAGCTTTTGGCAGCATATAATACAGGGTGTCCCAAAAAGATGTGCAC